GGGAGATCACTTCGCCCACTGCCTCATCGCCTTTGAAAATGTCCACCGCAGTTGTGGACGAAACGTCAGGAAGAAATTCCGATAGATCACGGCTTTAAAGCCCGGAAAACATTCCTAAATGTAATTTGACCGGCCGTGAAAGCCTTGATAGTCTGATGCAACTTCTTTGTTACTATTTCTAGATATTTAGCTACTTGGAAGCTACACGAAATAAAACTTGCTCTTTTCGTGTTTCCAAATCCCCAAGTGCCTCCTGCTGGTTGGGGGAAATCTCCTAAAATGTCCGCTTTGGTTTTTTGGCATAACTCTCATAGTTTACATAGTTTTTCTGTTCATTATTTCTTCTGATATCTTCGTCGTCTATTATAATGGTGTGCAGACTGTGGACCGTTCGTGTGAATAAAAAAGTGTGTAGTCCGTGGGCCGGTTTCCTTTGGATGCGTTTCGTGCGAAAAGGAAAATAATACGTTGCAATGAAATTGGATCTTTCGCTCCTGAGCGCATTTCGGACGAAAATCATTTGCCCTGCCCAAAACTACCATACATTTTCATTCATTTTAAGTGCAGATTTTAATGTTCTTTATTCTCCTGTTCTAATGTTTATTCTGATAGAGCGCAAAATTTAATGTAATTTCTTCAATCAAAGATACAATTAAAGATGACAAATGGTTTTTATTAATCATATGATATATATAATCATATCAAATAATCGGATCGGTGCGTGATCGGGAAGGGGAAGCCACACATGTCATACCCGTTCAATTTCCGTTCCGATTTTTGGACGAGTGCAAATCACAGATTATCAAACTATTCCTAAGACTAAGTCCAAATGTATTAATTGGCTTTACCGTTTTTCATATAGACACTCGGATGGTTTACTTTGAATATCGAAAACTGAAAACCGAACTAGAAATAAGACTTTTGTTTTATGTTTTTAGGCTCTTTTAGGACACTATAGCTTGCCGAATTAAGCCAAACTAACGTGATATTTAAAAATGCTTTAACGTGACAAAAAGACTAGTAGCGAACTAATTGTGCGATTATATAAAAGATAATAATCAGATTAATAGGGATTTGTTTTCCACTCGTATTTCGGGTCTATATGTTAGTTATTAACAATTTATTGCCAAAAATTCAATGCGATGCGATTTTTGTCTTTTTGTTTATAATATTATATAATAATGGAGTAATCGGAATGCCCAA